CCTGTGAACTTAAGACCCTATAGATATTCTATTCCTCAGAAGAATGAAATGGACAGGTTAGTGAAGGAGATGATGGAAGCTCAATATATACAGACCAGTCGCAGCCCTTTTGCTTCCCCAGTTCTGTTAGTCTTAAAAAAGGATGGCTCATGGAGATTTTGTGTTGATTACAGACAGTTGAATGCTCTTACTATCAAGGATAAATTCCCTATTCCAGTAATTGATGATCTGTTAGATGAATTGAGAGGATCTAAGTACTTCACAAAGCTGGACTTGCTGTCTGGTTATCACCAAATCAGAATGCATCCTCCTGATCAGCATAAGACTGCTTTCAGGACACATCAAGGGCACTATGAGTTCAGGGTGATGCCCTTTGGCTTGACAAATGCACCAGCCACATTTCAAGCTTTGATGAACAGAATTTTTGCTCCTCACTTGAGACAGTTCATCTTAGTATTTTTTGATGACATTTTGGTATACAGCCCTGACCAGGAAAGCCATAAGCAACATTTGGCCACTACTCTCAGTATCTTAAGAGCTAATTCCCTGTTTGCTAAGCCTTCTAAATGCTCGTTTGGACAAACACAGGTGGACTATCTTGGTCACATCATTACTCAGGAAGGGGTATCAACAGATCCCAGTAAGATTGAGGCCATGGTTTCTTGGCCTGTACCTAAGAATATAAAGGAGTTGAGGGGGTTTTTGGGATTAACAGGGTACTACAGAAAATTTGTTAAGAATTACAGTGTGTTGGCCAAGCCTTTGACAGATTTATTGAGGAAGGATTGTTTTCAGTGGTCTGCTGCAGCTGAAGGGGCTTTCCAGGTGTTGAAGAAGGCCATGGTTCAGGCTCCAGTATTGGCCTTACCTGATTTCAACCAGCCCTTTGTTCTGGAGACAGATGCCAGTGATATTGGCATTGGAGCAGTCCTGTCCCAAGCTGGTAAACCATTAGCATATCATAGCCAAGCTCTTGGTCCTCGTAAGCAAGGTCTTTCTACATATGAGAAGGAGTACTTAGCAGTTATTCTTGCTGTCACCAAGTGGAGACACTATTTGGAAGGCAGACAGTTTGTGATAGTAACTGACCATGAGAGCTTAAAACATTTGCTGGGGCAGAAGATTCATACACAAATTCAAAAGAAAGGGTTGGTCAAATTGTTGGGTTTAGACTTTGAGATTCAATATAGGCAAGGCAAGTTTAATAAGGTTGCAGATGCCTTGTCCAGGCACCCTCATTTTCATAACCACAGCAATTGCCAAGCCATTACAGCTGTGATTCCTTCTTGGTTAGCAGAAATTGAAGCAACTTATGAAGGGGATCAGATGGTGCAGGATTTGTTGATGGAAGCAGCAGTACCAATGGTGGGTCCTAAGCTGTTTTCAGTCCATATGGGCTTGCTGTATCACAAGGCAGCCTTGTTTGTGGGGTCTGCTGGGGTTATGAGGCAACAACTAATGAAGTTGTTCCATGAATCTCCTATTGGTGGTCATTCAGGTCTTCAAGCCAATTACCAGAGATTGAAGAGACATTTTTGGTGGCCTGGAATTAAGAGTGATTTAAAGAGGTTTGTGCAGGAATGTGATATCTGTCAAAGGTGTAAGGTGGAGAATGTGCCATATCCAGGTTTATTGCAGCCTCTGCCAGTTCCAGATCAGGCATGGAAGCATATTTCAATGGATTTCATTGAAGGCCTTCCTAAATCTCAGGGGAAAGAGGTGGTATTTGTTGTAGTGGACAGGTTTTCCAAGTACAGTCATTTTTTCAGCTTAACCAAGCCTTATACAGCAGCTTCAGTAGCTCAGGTATTCTTTGATGGGGTTTTTAGGCTACATGGTCTACCTCAAACCATTGTGTCTGATAGGGACTCACTGTTCACTAGCACTTTTTGGACTACCTTGTTTCGGTTGCAAGGGGTTAAGCTGCACTTCTCAACTGCTTACCATCCTCAGACAGATGGTCAGACAGAGAGGGTTAACAGGTGCCTGGAGGAATATTTGAGAGGGATGGTGCACCACAATCCACAACAATGGGCAGGATGGATTACGTTGGCTGAATGGTGGTATAACACCAACTATCACAGCAGCCTACAGGGAACTCCTTTTGAGGCTTTGTATGGTTATTCTCCCACACAACTGTCGATTGCCAATCCTCTGTCAACACCAGTAGCAGCAGTTGCAGAAAAGCTTCAACAACAGCATCGATTGGTGGGAATTCTCAGGGATAATTTGGCAAAGGCCCAAAACAGGCAAAAGCAGATGGCAGATGCACACAGGACAGAGAGGGCATTCAAGGAGGGGGAGCTGGTCTATCTCAAACTCAGGCCTTATCGACAGTCTACAGTGGCAACAAGGGCGAATCAGAAGTTGGCTCCTAAATTCTATGGGCCTTTTGAGATTGAGCAGAAGATTGGCAATGTGGCTTATCGTTTGAAGCTTCCTTCTGGTTCTGCAATACATCCCGTGTTTCATGTGTCACTACTTAAGAAGGCAAGGGGGAGCTCGGTAATTGCACAGCCAGCACTGCCAGAAATTGATGCAAGTGGAAGTTTGAAGGTTGAGCCTGCATCTATCCTTGCAAGAAGAGTAGTAGCTCGGCAAAACAGGGCAGCAACCCAAGTTTTGATCCAATGGACACACCAGACAGAAGAGGATGCTACTTGGGAGTACTTGGAAGAGTTCAAGCAGAGATTTCCAGAGTTTCAAACTTGAGGTCAAGTTGTTTCTGAAGAAGGGAGGAGTTGTAACGAATGGTCTTAATTGTAAATAGGAGAAATGTAGTGACCAATCTGGATATTTGGACTCACGGGTATAAAATACCGTTGTAACGGCCTGAAACGGCTAACTCTGTGAATGCAACAAACTTTCCCTCTCTCACTTCTCTCTCTCTCTCTATCTCATTTCCCTCTTCTACCTCTCGCCAAGACTAATCCGACCCAGGACACCACAGCTCCGTTCCGTTCGCAGGTCTCCTCCACCAGCCGGCTTTCCTCTATCCATGTTGTCAAGTTCGACGTTCCGTTCCGGGCCGAACGCGTCTCTATCCCCAGTCAAGACTCCTCGCCGCACGGAGCTTTCCTACCGTCGCTACTCTGTCCAGTCCAAATTCTGTTCGGCTGTGGTTTCGGGAAAGCAGCCGCGGGATCCAAGAGATCGGGAGATTCGGAGATGAATCTGCTCGATGCCACAGTCGCCGTCCAGATGAGAAATCTGTCGACGTTGTCGCCAAGTCACAAGCCTCGACCAGTCACGGTCGTTCGTCGCCTCAGTCATCCGTAGCCTCATCGTCACCGCCGTCTATTCGTCATCATAACCGTCCACCAGTCAAGGGTTTTAGTTACCTACGTCGGATACGTTGCATCTCCGTGGTAGGATCGACGTCATCGATTCAAGGTCAAAGCTGTCCAAGTTTTGGTCCCGCCCAGCCGTTATCTCACAGCGATGCTCGTCTTTAATCTTGTACTTGGTGCTAATGTGCTTTGCAGGGTATCACCCCACAGTCAATTATTCTTCCATTCATGTGGTGGGATAGAAAAATGTGTTTGGTGGTCAAAAGTTGGGCAATGGAAGGTAACGAGTTCTAGCACCAAGATCAAGCACTTCCGTTGCCGCTTGGTTAAATCAGTTTGGGGTACCGGAGTTGGCTTCTCTGTCCAGTCAACGTCACTCTAAGTGTGGAAGGTGGAGTTTTATCTCACGGCATGTCATGTAGCTGGTTATATCATCATGAATCTTCCCAACATCGATTAAAGTAATGGCATTGAAGACAGTCGCGACCTGCAGTGGTCGTTCCTTCAGTAGCTAGTGTTGGAGAGATACGGCTTTCGTCAACAAAGAAGTTCAATGCGAGGCAGTCACGATCAAAGAAGCGATCGTCCCCTCCGCGTTCAACATCAGTCAATGTTGAGTCATTACCATTCTCACTTTCAAGTTGGGCATTCACGTCGTTCATGCTCCATCTTGAGGGGGGAATAGGAGGTCAACATACGTCGGTCGACTAGCTCAGTCATCAAGTCGATCGCGTCTATCTATCCGTCAGTAAGATCAAGAGACGTAGTCAATCGTCTCCGTCAGTGAGTTCAAGAGACGCAGTCAACCGTCTCCGTCAGGAAGTTCTAGAAGACGCAGTCAACCGTCTTCATAAGGTTGTTCAAGGGAGAGAGTCAGTCGTCTCCAAATCAACCTCGTCCGAGAGATTATTCATCTCGAGTTTTGTTGTTCAAACTTGTCATGCTTGTTCGTCACATTTCCTTTGTCAAGCTCGACATTCTTGTCACTCATGTCTTCGCTTGAGGGGGAGTGTTGAGGATATTAATTATTTAGTCAAAAATAATTAATTCCTTGTCCTACAAGTCCCTAGTTTTCCTTGTTCAAGTAAAAAAAGGAAACTTGGTTGTCATTAGGGTTGTAACCCTATGTCTATCTCTATATAAGCTTAGCTACGAGATTGTCGTAAGCAAGCCGTCACAATGTAGTCGTTCAATAAAACGTCAGCTGTGAGCTCTTTCGAGCTCACCGTGGATTAGTCTCGATCAATCAATCGATCGAGGATACCACGTAAAATCCCTTGTGTTCTATGTTTGTTTCGTATTTCCGCATCATCAAATTCTACAATTTTCACCTCGTCTTTGCCCTTTTATGGGTTTGCTTTTGCTCCCTTTGTACATTTCGATAAGCACTTGTTTGCCTTTTGGGTTTTTCCAAAAGGAATCTCCGGCAGCTATATATATATATATATATTTGTTCGTGCCGCTTGATGCTATTATAACATAGTCGGCTAAAAGTAACCACACATTACTTACTCCGTAACTTCCGTCACTAATGAGTGTTGTATCTTGCAATATTACTACTTTTGTTTTTTCAACGTAGATTTCTGAGGCTCGAGAATGCAAGTTAGTATTAGTTATTGAACTTGTATTATTTACCTTGACGAGTACTATATATATATATATATATTTTGTCCGTTCACATCTCATAAGCAAAACAAAAGCTAGAGAACCATGGCATCAGCGACTAGATTATTATTGGAGCTGTTCATCTTCGTGCTGATCATCGCCGCCGCGGCAACCACCGTGAAGGCCGACGATGCGGCCTCCGTGCAATGCCGCGATTGGGACGTCGTTGGTGGTGACCAGCTGGCACTGGCCGGGAAGATGAAGAAATCCCTCATTCGAGATTTGTTTGCGAAAGTGCCAAAAACACGAGAGGAGTACTACTGCAACGAGCTGACGCTGGACGGGCTGAAGATGTACGGGTACGGGGAGTGCCTCGGTCGGGACCGGCGGGGAGACGCCGGCCGGACGGCATGCTTCGAGTGCTTGGCTCTGGCGGGTCGTTTACTGATCGACAGTTGTGGACAAACCGGCGCCGGCTACGCCTTCGATCTTTACGGGGTGTGTTCTTTTAAGGTTGGATACTCCTTGGATGTTTGTAGCTAGCTAAGTTAATTAGTTTCAAATCTGACTTTGTGGTATTTGGTTAGAATGTCATGTATCCAATTGTGATGATTTGCTTTTACTTTCTCGAGAGATGATGGTTACTAATGGCTGGTGAATTTCTTGATTCCAAGCCGAATAAAAAATGTTATGTTATATCATTAGAGATCCAGTTATTGATTTCGGGTTTGGATTTTTTTTTTTTTTTTTTACGAGCATTAGGGTTTGATAGGAAAAAAAAATTATTGTTTGGATTGAAAGTCTCTCGTCCACCATCTGACAGATAGTACAAACGTCAGACAATGATTCAAATGAATTATGATAACACTCTAATTAAGTTCATACTTGGAACTGGTAATATAATAGTCGGTTAGCAGCTGCAAAATGCTAGTAGGTTGTGTAAACTGCATGAGAGAATAATGCTTTTTTTTTTCTTCTTCTTCTTCTTATAGAAATTAGGTTAATTGGTCAAGCTTGAGATATAAAATATCAACAACAATTACCGGAAAAAAGTTTATATATATCATCATTATCAACACGCATGGTCTGTAAATAACTGAATACCATGTCCCATCTCGTGGCGAAATAAGCCTAATAGATCTCTTTTCTCTTCTATTCTATTTCTGGCTTGTTTTTACTGAAAAGTCTTTGCCCTGTGGCTGTGGGTTTGCTTTTGCTCCCTTTGTACATTTCGATAACTACTCGTTTAATTTTTTGGGGTTCTCCAAAAGGGATCTCCGGCAGCTATAAATATATGCTTATTCGTGCCGACTGCCGATTGATACTATGTACAAAAGTACCAATATTGTGAAAGACGATTTCTTCTTTACTTCGAAGTAAAACAAAAGTAGCAATATTGTGAACAAAAAGAGTTGTATGTTAATGTTTTGATTTTTAGTCGACCATCAACCCTACTTATTATTAAGGTTTAGAAAATCGTACCGGACGTTATATCAAAAAATGAGTAATAGGGTATTTTGTACTAAATTTTTGGTTTAATCGTAATTAAACCGTTTCCTACTGCTAAAACCGCCTACCGTTTTATAGAGCTGGGAAACGGTGCGGTCTGGTCTAGTCCAGACCGGACCATATATACTGTCTACGATCCAGGCCAAGAGGCTGAAATATAGATCACAGACTAGACCACAGACTATACGGTCTAGACCAGACCACGCATGTGTGGTTTGGTCTGGTACGGTCTGGTCTGGTCCAGATAGACCACACAGAACGAAAAATGAACAATTCAATTAGTCAACCACACAAAAATTTGAACCAGTAGCCAAGAATATTTTTGATTTTTGCCTTAAAACATAAATTCCAACATGGACGAATAACACCCCAAATCTCAGTAAATTACAAAGATACAAAGTCAAAACATCACAACTTGCACCATAACGTCATTAACATTATATCATATGAAGATACGATCGTCTCTACTCTCTTGTGAAATGTGATTGTGAATGAAAGAGGGGATGAGAATTCTCAAAATTAAGATTGAGACTTGGATATCATTGTGAGAGTTGGGAAAGTGATGCAGTGGGCTGCTTACACGTATTGAGAATATTCTTGGCTACGGTATTTAACGGTCTACGATCCGGTTTGAACCATAATTTTTCAAACGATTCGGTCTATTATCCCAGCCCCTATCATCCGGTATCTTGTATTTTGGATCTGGTACGATAGTGTTTTCCTAAATCATGCTTATTACATTATTATGTTGTGTAGGTATGTGTCCGCCCGTAACAACTTGCTTATTCATAATTTCTCGTAGGTAGCCGTTCCTCACGGTATATCCCACAAACAAAGAAAAGCCGAACGAACTCCATGAATACGTGTTGTCGTAAGTATGTGTTCTCTAGAGGCGTACACAGTTATAACTTGTGAATACCGAAACTTCGATCTACAATTAACAAAATTAAACCTCTTATTAATTATTTGCATAATTCCAATATAAATTTTTTACTATATATATATACCATACGGTGGCTATTTCGGTGCACTCACTTTTTTGGGTGCACTCAGTGCACCAAACTCTAAAAGCGTCCATAATACATCAAATTCTGAACTTTAATTAGTACTCTCAATATAATATGATGATATGACATAGAATCATAACAAATCAATCCATTACCCTATCCTCTTAACCTTCAATTTTGAATCCCAACCCAAAATCCCAAATTGTAAACCTAAACCCTAACCCTAAATCCCTAAATCCTAAATCCCTCAAATTAAAGTGAATTTTTAATGATTTTTTTTTCAAATTCATGTGTTTCTTATTCATAATATCATAAGCAACAATTGATACCGTTTTGACATGAATCGCATGGTCAGAATGACAATTATGAGGCAGGTGCACTGAGTGCACCCGAAAAAGTGGGTGCACCGAATACGCCACCTATACCATATATATATATATATATAGTGACCAGAAACTAGCCCTTCACATTTCACTATACCAACAACAGAAAGAAATTTGCAAAGAAGCGTAAACATATGGCCGTGGCGGTAAGCGGCAGGTTAATAGCAGTCACGTCGTCCATCTTTCTTCTTCTGGTCGCCGCCGCCGCCGCTGCGGCCGGGGGCAACAGCGTGTTCTGCCACAACATCGGCGGGTGCGATGCGGGAACGGCGGGGAGCCTCGTCAGAGATTTGGCCGGCGAAGTGCCAGGTCAGCCAAACCAGCTGTACTGCAACGTTCAGGAGCTGCCGAGTGGATCGGCGAACATGTACGGGTACGGTTACTGCTCGACGAGAGGCAGGAGTCTGGAACCGGAGAAAGACTGCAACGACTGCTTGACCAGTGCGGGCAACGACCTGGTCAACGGTTGCAGAGGCGTAGGCGGCGCCGGCGAGGTGTGGGGTCCGAATGCTTTGTGTTATATCCTGATGGGACTCACCAATAAGTGTGCCTAGCTATAGCTATACTTGGTGAATAATTAGCTTTACTTCGGGCCGAATCGATGATTTGTGATACTGTATCGTATTTTGACTGAATCATATGTGGAACTGACGTGTCTAACATATGCCTGGTGTTACTTTATGTACGGTTTTTTCTGCTCTGTGCTTGTTCAAATTGTCGGTATGGATTTACAAGTACTGTCGTGTGCACGATTGATGAGTGTATTTCCACGTATTATATGTAGTGAGAGTTGTTGTAATCGCGTTACATCTACATCTTTATATTATACGATTATATTGTCATAAAGATGAGTGACTTTCGTCAGTTTGAAATATTTTAAACTATCGTTATGCTTCGATAGGAAGAATTTTATTGTCTCAATTGAAGTGACTTCTCCGTCGCTATTAGTGAAACTGATAACCAGAAGCCTTTTGCCAAGGGGTTTGCTCTAAAGTATTTTACAATAAATCCTCCTTGACACTTGGCACCACACCATGTTGGACTGTTGGTCACGACCACAGGTTTTTGTGACTAAAACAGATTTGGTGACAAATTACTAATTAAGAATTTTTGTTGGGCCTAACAACACCACTAGGAAAGGCCGATTAATGGGCCCAATGGGTCATCAGCCTAACGCACCCGGAAGGCCAGCCTAAACTGGGACTCCATGTATCAAGTAAAATTTTACATTGGTTTGGGGTAAGCGATTTATTATCATGGCCTTGGGCGCTACGCTAGCCTGAACCATATATATATTATTTCCAGAATAAATTCATATTATAATAGGTATAATATGCTCATCTATTATGATGTTTTATCAAACATGTCATTTTATTATTTTTATATCAAACATGTCCTTTTGTTAAAATTTTCATTCAAAAACTGTTAACCAACACCGAATTTTGGTTTGGGCGACACAAATGTCTAAAATATCTCTAATAATTCCACTTTAGAATTTTTTTTGGTTATTTTGTATACCCAAATAATTCAAATAATTTCACTTTGAAGAGACCTAGAGAAATAAAACGGGGGACAAAACTGATATTTTTCCTCCCATTTATCGACGTCGGGTTGTCTAAATCTCGGTTCAACCATGATTGCAAATTTTTTCAATTGAAATCTGAGCTGAAGGGCATGCTTGATAATTTTGTCAAAATACAGGGGCATGTTTGATGTAAAAAAAATAATAGAGGGGCATGTTTGATAAAACGTCATAGTAAAGGTGCGTATTATACCTATAATCCAAATTCATATGTTCTGGCGATTTATTATCATGGTTACCGTGCGTACATACAGTCGCTCCTCCGATGCGTTTGTTTCATGCTCTGGCTATGTGTTATGGTTTCAAAATCCATATCGGCCGATCGAGTCACACATGTTAGTGCTGGCTATTTGGTCCGGGTTTTTTGGTTTTACCTGTAACCGGACCGTATAACCCGGACCGAGACCTGACCGGGACCGGATAGTAAACAATCCAATCCAATTTTTGGGCTTAGATTTGAGGTAAAAAACCGTTCGAGACCGGATCGAAACTGGATAAAGACTGGATAAGAGAGCTCAACACCCAAAACTTAAGGGTAATTTGCATAAATGGTCACAAACCTTTGCACTTAGTAAAAAAATTAACCAACTCCTCACCCTTTCAGGCCTTAGGCCACTCAAATTCCCACAAGCTCAATATAAAATCAAGACCGAATTGGGACCGGACCGGGTCAAGACCGGACCGAATCAAGACCGGACTGTATCCAATCCAATCTTTGGTCCTTATATTTTCAAAAAAACCGAACTGGACCGAATCAATTTGGGCCAATTTAACCGGACCGGACCGTACCGTATAGCCACCGCTAACACGTGTATACGTTCCTTTTGTATAGGCATGACACCTCAACAATCTACGAGGGAACTATTTTACAAGAAGTCAATTGAGTCGCACACATATAATTAGTTCTCATTTGATTTTTCATTATTTCGTTTTGCACATCGTTCTGCAAATACCATGTCCCATCTCGCGCGAAATAAGCCTTGTAGATTTTCTTTCACCTTCTTTCTTTGCTGTCGCCTGTCGGCGAGAGTTGTCTTTGTTTTCGCCTAATCAATATTATTA